CCGTTGCCTGCCCCCGCGCATGGGTACTGAATTCGGTTGCAAAAATTTTATATACTATGTGCAGCACCTTTATCTTCGGCACCGCTTGCAGCGCACATTACTGCCAATCGATTCCGCACCACGACCACACCTCGCTCGATAGAAAGCGCGCACTTGCCAAGTCCTGCAAACACGAGCTCTTGGGTATTGGTCTTGAAAGTTGCATCAAGGACTTGGACGTGTTGCAATTTTTTTTTTTTTTTTTTGAGGTGCTTCGAGGACCTCAACTTGTGTGAAGGCTTGTTTGCTGCGTCAGGAAAAGCTTGGCACTTATTTAAGACTGGTGCTACAGAAAACCGGCGCGGTGGAGTGCGAAATGGCAAAGTGGTTTGGGCCAGGTTTGCGAAGGCTATGGCAGGTACATTTCCATCCCCGTGTGATAAATCACTGTGGCAGGAGAAGACAACATCTTCTTGAAACACGTTGTGTCTGCTGGCATGGTGGTGGACAACAAGAATGTTGACATTGCTCGTAACCATGCCGAGGTACAAGATGGATGTGGCCAAATCGTACAAAGCTCTGATGCAGCAGAGACTTGATTTGGCCTTATTGTGGGTGGTAGAGAATACAAAAGCCATGGCGGAAGGAGACAAAGTAGGGATGTCGACAAAGCATAGCATCGTTTGGACTATTGAAGAAGTCAATAAGCCCCTTTGTATTTCTGGGCCGAATCGCATCATGGAGCGCCGCACATGGAATCCAGCTTCAGGTCTTTATGTGGCCTTTCTCACCGCCCACGGGAAAAGGGTGCGCATCCCGCTCAGCTGCCTGGCCTCAGCCGAGTCTGAAGCCTCTTGGACAGCCTCGCCCGGTCATAAGAACTGCCCGGCGTTCCCGAAAATAGCTAACTGTCCTCGCCTAAAGCTCGTCCTCGGACGTTCTCGTGAAGTTGGTGGAAGTGGTAGTGCAGTGATAGATAGCATTGGCGACCTTTGTTGTGTAGCGCGCAAGTTTTTTGAGTCTATTGCAGCGGCTTGGACGAAGCAACAAATTGCAGTTGTGACATGATTGACGGCATCATTTTGGTCGGACTCGTTGAAAAACGTTACTCAAGTTCATCTTAGTCAACATGCTCTGTTGTTAATAAGCAAACCAGCAATGATTTTTGTCATTCTCTGCAAAGCCTTTTATTGGGCACACAATTTTTGAAGGCAACATTCATTTTTCTTTCCCAAGATTTCAGACGCCAGCAAGTCGGCAGGGGCCAAAAAGCGTCCGGGCTTTGGGTAGCCCGTTGTGTGGAGTTTTGCTGCCGCATGTGCTCGCGGCAATGTTGAAAGATGTGCAACTGCGTTTTTGGCTTGATGCGGTAATGCGTTCAGTCGTCACGGTTCCGGCTCCCGTAAGCGCCCATGGCAGACAAAGAGGCGGCTGACTTCGGCTAGGAAGTTGCCGTCTGCGAAGCAATCACCGCGTGTCAGGTGTCTGAGGAGCTTCCCTCCTTCGAGGCTGATCAGTGCCGCAGTGCACGCATGCACACTGGTGCTTATTACAAACGTTCTCGGTCAGTGCAGGACTTTGGGGACACACCGAAGGCAAACGAATGTTTCTGTGCCGTCAGCATCACTGGGCTGTAGTCAATGATACAAAAACGCTATCGTTCCTGTCGCTGAACCTTGCCGCTTGACGGCCCTTTTGTCAGCTCCTGCAGGCTGCAGCTTCACAGGCACGTCCAGCAATTGATGAAGCATCATGAATAAAAAACGTCAGGTTTATGCTTATTGCTCACAATATCGACACGCTTGCGTAAGGATGCTGCCGCAGCGTCGCAGGCGGGCTGAGTTCCAAATTCGGTCATCGCTTATATGGTCTGCTTCACAACTTATGTTTTCGTCATCGTTGCACCGATTATTGAGGCAACCTCTTCACAGGGAGTGAGCCAAGAGGCTGGATGCTCACTGCGGAGTTGCTACTTAGTGCACCAAGCTATAACATTCTGCTCCCTATGAGAGCAGCGCTGGTGACGACAGGAAAAGTCCCAGGAGGCAGAGACCAAGGCATATGGTTCTGCTTGCGTGTCAGCAGAAGCCTCATCTCGAACAGGCGGCTGAAAAGCAAGCTGCAGAGGCAGGATGCTTGGACGATTTGGTCGCCAGCTGCTTGTGCTTATGTTGGGAGTGTCACGGCTGAGGCCAAGACTGAAGAAGCAAAATCGGCCGAGGAAGCAACCGGCAGTGGAGCTTGAATGCGGCAGACATGGACAAATGTTTTTTTGCACAAGGCCGATGAAGAGAGACGCAAAGCTGAAGTAGCGGCAGAAGCCGCAGCTTTAGATCCTGCCGAGAAAAAAAGAAGAGTCTGGATCTCATATCTGGCTCAGTCGAAACTTGACTGAGCTGGCGGTATTCATGCATGCCTGTAATCAAGGAAAAGGAAGCAGCTGAGAGAAAAAGGAAGCAGGACAAAAAGAAGAAGTTGAAGGAAAAGAAAAAGGCGTGCCTTTGGAACAGCATCAACTTACCTGGCTGTGGAGCTGAGCTTCGACCACAAAGCAAGGGCTGCTTGCCACAGGCCGCAAAAGCCGAAGAGCTGAAAGCGTCTGGTTTGCCGACCAAGGGCAAAGGTGGAAAAGGCACCAACTGCATGCGCGGTGAATGAATGTCGTTCGAACCATAGCGCAATGTTTCAGTTGCCGGTCTGCTTTGATGTGCTCTTGTGTGCGAGGCGCCAAGGGAGGTGCGAAGGGCAAAGCAGCTTGTTGGCAGATGTGTAGGTCTCGTAAACATTTCCATGACTTCTTGCTTGGCCGTTTCTTGTCGTGATTGGTGCCAAGGTGGCCGTGCCTGGCCGCACTCCAGGTGCCAGCACTACAAAAGACGACGATGAAATGGAGGTACACATCGGACTGTCAGCAATTGTTTTAGCGCCACTACTGCATGTGCAACGCTTGTTTCTGCAGCGATACATGTGCAGGTGGATTATGTCGTGGCCTCGAAGATCCGTTGCTCTCAAAGATGCAGGAATTCCTTTTGTGCATGAGCTTGGAACTGCAAAGGTGATACCAGAAGTTCTTGCTGGAAATGATCAGCCTGAAGATGAAACTTTCGCGGCGATCATGGAAAGGTTCAAGTATGTGGAGCCGGAGAACAAGGTCCATTAACTAGGGTTGTATTGTGCTCCTGAAGACACTGACCAAGATTCGCAGATAATCCTACAGTGCACAACGGGAATTTGTGACGCGTTCCTTGTTCCCCGAACAGTGGTGGGGCTGTTTCCCAGCAGGAGGAGAGGAGTTAGGTTAGATCGCTGTCCGCACGAGGCGCGCGATAGGCATGCACAACAGTTTCGTGCTCCTGCTGTGACCCAGTGCACCTTCCCCATCCGCGGAGGACACCAAATTCACGGTAAATCCAGTTCTTGATGAACCGTGGTCCGCAACAGTGCATTATGTATTTTGGAGTATTCCCGCCACAGTCCAGTCGTCGTTCTTCAAAGCGCACGAGGTCCCTAAAGTCCTGGCAGGGCCGTGGTTCCGAAATCCTCACCGATTCTAAGGGGTTCGGGAGTTTCGGAATTCATGCTCCCGCCAGCCAGCTTCGTTCTTCCTCCCGTGAACGTGCTCCCCATTGTCAAATTGTGGCTGCAACTCGTGCTTCTGCAACTAAGACCGTCCGCCCCCCGCAGCCCTGCACGTGTTCACCCAATCTTGCTCCCGCCACAGAGTCGCAGAGCTCAGACTATTCTGGCTGGGTGCTCTTTCGCTGCTTTGAGATTGCGATACTGATGGGTCTGAATACGCCGTGCAAGGGTGGATGTGCCAGAGAGGCTGTGCTCTTTTGTCTTGGGATGCCAAGAGGATTTGTGAGGACTCCATTGCTCTTGCAGCCAGGGCAGAACTCGGCTGTCGGCTTACACAAATCAGGCAACGAATGGAGCGGCATGTGGTCTTGAACGGAAGGCGCCAGGCTGTATGAGTATTCTTTATGCCTAGACTTGGGGGGAACTCTCGCCGACAGAGTTCCTCAAACTCTAAGTTTCAATTGCGACAGCTAGCCAGCAACCAGCCGCCACAATCCAAGCCGGCAGTTATTCAGCTTCAGAGTCTATGTCTAGATCCTCGGTAGAGTCCTAGGTCTCGAGCATGATAAGTTCCAACCCACCTGCATGAGGAGGAGGCAGACGAGGACGAGGAGAAGCCAAAAAGGCGGACGAAGCCGAAGGCATCTCTTCTGGAGGAAGCTGAGGACTGTTAAAGGATGTTGCAGTCGTGATCAGAATCTATGACGTTTTTTTTCCATGACTGCCCTTGATTGGTCTTGCGATGCTCTTGTGTCACCTGTGTTTATTAGTTCAGCCACAGGACAGCGAAGATGAGGAACACGATGCCGGAAAGATGTCTAAGAAAAAGCGGCGAGTGCGCTGGCGTTTAATTGTTTGTTGCAAGGGAGTTCAGTGGTGCTTGCATGCCATCTCAAGGTTCAGAACCGAATGTCTGTCGCAGAACTGAAAACTCTCGTCAAGAGACCCGATGTGGTCGAAGTCTGGGTGCGTGCCTCAACCAGTATTGCCGCAGATCAGTTGTTTGACATGAGACAATGCGTGCGCAAGTTAAAAACTGGTGGAGGACACGACAGCATCTGATCCGCGACTCCTGGTATACCTGAAGGCTTTCCAGCGAGATATGAGCATGCAACCTCGAAGTTTTCGAAATCAGGCATATCGGAACACGGTTGCAGTTCCAAAGCACTGGAGCAGTTCCGAACTCAGGCTTAGCTGACAGCTTGCTGAGAGGCCAGTAGGAGATGGAAGGAGCTGTCTCCAAAGTCTCCCTGCAAGCAAGGCAAAAGAAAGTACATGGCGGGAAAGCGTGGCGTCGAGAAGTTTTGGCCTTGGGCAACTTGTCGAGCACTTTGAGATCCTCTCATGTTCAGCCAAGGCCGCCTTTCCGGCTGCCGGAGTTTATCGAAGCCACGGGCATCGCGAAGATTCGTCAGGCCGCAGCTCTTCTTCGGGGCTAGCCTCGCGTCTGTCGAGCAATAGCCTCTCTCTTCAGGCGATCATGGAGAAGCAGGCCAAACGCTCGGAAAATGCGTGATGGAGTGTGAACGAGTGCCGGCAGGTTACAGGTTCAATCACAGAAAGATGCCTGTTCAGGCAGACATGTCATTCAAGCAGCGAAGCCGAGAACGCGTCCATCCGAAGATGGGTAAGTTGGACATCGATTACCAGGCGGGATGAACACGAACTCGCAGTTTCCTTGGTGCATGTTGTGGATCTTCTGTTGTGACAAAGATGCTTCTAAGGTTCTGCATGATGCCTTCTTCAAGTTTGCATCGAAACCGAAGCTGTCGATGCTTGGCAGCGTCAAGAGCTTGCTCGATGCAAGTGTCCGAGAAGGAAGTCGACCCTACGCTGGCATGCAGGGTTGCATGACAGTGTCATCAAAGGCGCTGTGAAAAATTACATGAAACCTCAGGAAGCATAATGACATGTACTACGAGGGCAAGGTTGGGGATCACTTTGCGAGAGTGGTTTAGGCACCCTGCACTAGCACTGTATGTTCTCCAGGAGTACGAGACGAAGATGTTGACGAAAAGGCCAGCCGTGTTGCGCCACTTCTCAAGCTTTTGCGTTATTTACGAGATGCGGGTGGATTGGGACTGAAGACGCTTGTGAGTCTTTCTACATTTCCATTCCGGCTGGGTGTGCCCGAAAAAGCAAGATTTCCGGCCACCCGGTACTCGCCGCAGTTCAGGCCGTTCGAATGTTTCGGAACCAAAGCAAAACAAAGTAGCTGGTATCGTTCAGCAGACGGATCATGTCAGAGGCTAGTAGACTTCTGCAGGCCTGGCCACCTGAGTGCCGCACTGAAAGAGGCCCGCCACCAAAGTGCTGTGCTGCTGAGTCGGTCACCATGCTCGGCGGCAAGGCACTTGGGATTCACGAAGGGAGCCCCCCGTCAGAGCCTAAAGACTGCAGGCGATTGACTTTCGCATTCGGAACTTGCTGCTTTCGCATCTGAGGCCTTGGCTCTTCAACATGCAGCGCCGAGATCTTAGATCCTTCGGACTGCCCAGCTCTGTTTTTGTTGTGATGGCAGCGATCTGGTACTAATTCTGGGAGGGTCTGGTAGGGGGTTTGCTGAGCCAGCACAACATGCCAGGCATCCGTGTTTTGTTTCCTGTCTGCTCGGGCACTGTGGAGGAATGAACAAGCTGTGGGCAACGTGCCACCAGAGACTTGTACTGCGTTCACCGAAAATGAAGCAAAAGGTATCTGCCAAGAAAATCATTGATGTCGTACGCGCATGTGTTCCTAAGTGTATTTTGACGACATTGACATACTGACATATCCTCGAAGCACGGAGCAGAGTTGGAGCAGAGTGGGATGCGGACGATCCGGCCGCACTTTGAACTCCGAAAGCACCCTTTACTGAGCTTTCCTTTGCGAAGCCTTGTACATTCGCTTTTGTCGTTCCAAGCTTCCAGGCGATGCACAAGGAATAAGTCGTCCAGCTGCGAAAATAAATAGTGAGAGCCATTCATGTTTGGGGAAGCGTCGGAGAACCACACTGTGTTGGGAATGCGTCCGGTCTCATTCCGTTTCCTTGCTGGGATCTTTCTTAAATCAATCTGAAAATCAGTCTTGAACTGGCAACAGCAGGCAAGTTGTTGTAAATCCACATGATTGCCTGCAGTCCGCATTCACGAGGGCATAGTTCCAAACTCGTGTCGGTTTTTTCATGGCAATGCGCACAGACACCTACCAAAGAAGTTGCTTCTGCTCTTCATGATGTCCGGACGGAGTATGTGGGAATCAAGTCTGAGACGTCTTCTTGTGTTGCGAGAGTCGGAAGAGTTGTGTTTCAGTGGACACGGTCTTTTGCAATCTTCAATCAGGCACTCGTTCAGCAAACGAGGTTATGGGCCTCCTCCGGCATACCCCAATCTGAAGATCCCGGGACTGAATGCACCCATCCCTCAGGCAGGATTCCGCACGTTGCTTTGCAGGAGAGCTTGTCCCTTTTTCCATGCAGGGCGCAGAGTATGGATATCACCCCGGTGGTTGGGGGAAGCCGCCCGTCGACGAGCTAGTGCCCGAGCTGTAACTCTCAGACAGCAATGATGTGGCAGCTGCTGATGTTTCTTGCAGGTTTGGGAACCCGTTGTACGGCGACTGGAAGGACCAGGCCCAACCAGAACCTGTTTGGACCCGCTTCGGGTCCAAAGCCGCGAAGCCGGGACTGGCAATGGAAGCTTCCCGCGTTGCTGGTAGGCACCAGCACCCTCAGGCCCAGAGGACCGGACATCAAGTGATTGTGCATTGAGACATGATGGCTGTGCCTTCCCAGGATCACACTCTTTGGGGTGAGGTCGATGATTTTGAAGAGGAGGCATATGCCTTCATGCATAACGCATAAGATTCCTGTGGGGTTCGTGACAGGAAGAAGATGAAGAGGTGGAAGCTGAGAGGCCTTGTGATTCTTCTTTACTTTACAATACTCGCATGTTAGCGCGAATTCTTTGGCTGGGCCAGGGGGGATGGCACCGCCACCCCAATGCTTGGCACGGCCACTCCACTGGTTGGTTCGGGCTCTGCAACTCCTGTTGTGTCCGGATCTTGCTGGAATGCTGCGTGAGGGCTTGCTGCATAGATTTGGCCATGTGTGGTTGGCAAAGGTCACATGGAGTACACAGCATCAGCGGTGTGTCCTCGATCACCAGTGGCATGGACACGTCCCGCTCTTGGCCATCATGGTGCAAGCAAAACTCGAGGAATGCTCAACCCATGCAACTTCATAAGACCTGGCACGGGTACACGAAGCAAGAAGGGTGGGATCGCCTCAGCACGGAGCCCAGCTCGGCTGTGCAGATGCTTGGATGTTGACGGCATCAGAATGACCAGCAAGTCCGACACCATTCACATCCATTCCACATGCTTGGACGGGCAAGTTCTGCCGATGCAGCCTCGCTTTCATGCCAAGCGAGGTGAGTGGCATCAGCTCGGCCTCCCTCACTCCGACTCCGCAGCTTTTCCAGGTCGGTACAGCCGGGTCAGCTGTGGACAAAGGAAGACCTTTGCTTGACAGGTTCTCGAGGAGCAAAAATCAAAGTCCAAGAAGGGTGTGGGCTGCTTACGATTAGGGTTGTTGTGCATTCTTATCGGTCTGTTCGGAGTGCGTGTGCAGGTTTACCCATCTGCACACACCTACAAAGTCGGCAGCAGGACGGAGTTGCGGAAAAACCGGAGAGAGGAGAGAGCGTCTGCACAGCTTCGGCCGGGACTTGAAAGGAGTGGAGGCGGCTCGTCGACGCCAGTCGGAGGTGTGGGCAGTTCTGGCACCGGTACTCCGCACCTCGGCGAAGAGAGCAACCCACAAGGCACCTCCAAGCTCTTCAAACTAAGGGTGGCTGGCATTGGAACTCCGATTGGTGGCATTGGTGCCCAAGTCTTTGCCTGTTTTGCGTTGGCAGCTTGTTCCTGTGCTCGGTGAACTCCGCAAAGGGTTTGATGTGCCAGAAGCGATATGCGGTCAGGTACTCCCATTGCCGGCATCGGCACTCCTCATGGGATTTCCACGTGTGGGCCCGAGGCATTGTCAGGTTCAGTACCCGCAGGACATGTGGCAGATTCTAGGGCTCGGTGAAGAGAGCCGCAAAAGTCACCCGGCTCCTGAGACCGCACGGTATTGGAACGCCAGGCATGGGTACGAGGAGATGATTGCTGGTTAGGGAAGCATGATCGCGACACTGCTGGTTTCTGCACCACAACCCAACAGTTGCAGGACACCGCAGGGCATCACCACCCCGCTTGGTATGGGGTCCGCAGGCAATGGCGGCCTTGCTTCCTGTCCAGTTCAGTCACGAGTTGCTGAGGTCATGGAACTGGGACCGGAACTGGGACCGGGACTGGGACTCCTGGCATGGGCACACCCGGAGCGGGGACTCCCATTGGTGGCATCGGCACACCTGTTGGAGGTGGTGTTCACACGCCCGCGACCGAGTTTTCATCGAGTTGTCGTGGAGTGTCTTCCGCCTCGCTGTTTGTAGCCTCAAGGCCGGTGGGTGGAATTGCAACCCCAGTCGGCCTGGGCCCAAGCACCATCAAACCAAAAAGGGGTCATCCATTCTTCATGCCTCTCGCGCGAATTGCACGAGGTGGTATCGCGACTCCAGTGGGCGGCATCGCCACTCCGGTAGGCGGCATTGCTACTGGGCTGCAGTGTATGTTGCATAGTGCCTGCCTTGATGGTTTGTGATATCCTGACGTTCGTGACAAGCCTTGTCACAAGGCTACACCAGTCGGGGGTATAGCAACGCCTGTGGGTCAGCATACACCTGCCGGAATTGCGGCCAGCCCAGTTCTTGCCGACATGGCTCGAGCCAGTGCTGCATTATTCGATATCTCAATAGTGACATGTCGTAGCCAAGGCAACTCCGGCTGGGGGCGTTTCCACTCCCACTGGCATTCCCGGTGGCATGGTCTTGCTCCCACTATAACTTGCCAGGGACACGTCAGGATGGGACACTTTTGTAATTGAGGCACCGACACCAGTCGGCGGAGCAGACACTCCGGGGCCGGTGACCATGAATCTGAACCCAGAGCAGGCCGGGACTAGTGTCTACATCTCATGCTACGTCTACGCGCTTTTGCATGTCTATCTATCTATCTATCTACCTATCTATCACTATCTAGCCATCTATCTATCTATCTATCTATCTATCTGTCTATCTATCTACCTATATATCTATCTATCTATCTGTCTGTCTGTCTGTCTCGGTCTGTCTCGGTCTGTCGGTCTGTCTATGGATGCATATATCTCAATCAATCCATCAATCAAGCAAGTCAGCAAGCAAGCAAGCCAGCAAGCAGCCACCCAACCAACCAACCAACCAACCAACCAACCAACCAACCAACCAACTAACCAATCTACCTATCTACCTACCTACCTACCTACCTGCCTACCTACCTACCTACCTACCTACCTACCTACCTACCTACCTACCTACCTAATCTATCTATCTATATATAGATGCTTGCAAGCTGCTATGCTTCTTTGCATCTATGCATGTATGTACGTACGTACGTATGTATGTATGTATGTATGTATGTGTGTAGGGTAGGTTAGGGTAGGGCAGGGTAGGGCAGGGTATGGTAGGGTACGGTAGGCTAGGGTATGGTATTGTATGGAATGGTATGGTTATGGTATGTATGTCATGTATGCACGTATGTATGTATGTATGTATGTATGTATGTATGTATGTATGTATGTATGTATGTACGCGTGTATGTGTGCATGTATGTAAGAATGGGTGTGTCTCTGTGTGTGTGTGTGGGGTCGTGTAGGTGATTATATAGGAAAATCGAGATGTGTTAAGCAACAGAGCGAGTTGTGGAGTGAAACAAGTCAGGGCACCCAGGTCGGTGCCCATGCCAGCAAGTTTTCAGTTCGTGGCAGGTCTATTGCACACTCGATGCCAAGCTTCACAGGGCAGGGACCAAAACATAATGTCATGCGCCAGGTGTGCGCAGTAATGGTGTTGACTTCTTGCCTGCTCTCCGAGCTCTCTTGCGGAGGAACGAAAACTAAAGCAAGAGAGGAGGGCTCCTAGTCTGGACTGCCGAGATAGGGGAAGGAGAACGAACACACGCAGTGCAAGGTGCAAGGGAGTAGGCACGTCGGTGCTTTTGGTGGTCAGAGTTTCTCACTTTTCGGAGCGGATGAGACAGATGTCGCTGGAGGCAGAATGCGTTGACACGGAGAACAGGGCGGTAGGGTGGACAGCTCGCAGGTTGAGACAGAAGGCATTCTCACAGCGGACATCATTCGTCCCGGTCTCAGCGGCAGCACGAGCTGTACGGGCTTGCAACTAATGATCCCCGGTCACCGTCACGAGGTCAGCAGCTCAAGCAGCACGAAGAGGCCGCCGCCAAGGCCAAGATTGCAGCCGGTCAGAAGGAGGCAGGGGAAAAGGGACGAAAGGACAACCAAACTGGACGCTTAAGTGCCGGCTTTGGTCAAGGTGGAGCAGAAGAAGACGGTGGCTGCCAAGCCGACCAAGAAGCGCAAGGTGCGTTGGGCGATGGGCGACGGCTTAGTCGAAGAGTTGAGCTCCCGAAGCAATGCGGTGTCAGGAGAAGACAAAGTTCAAGTTCTGAGCAGCTTCTCGCTGTTTCTCTTTGGTGGATCGTGCATATTGTAGACTAACAGCGGTCTTATCATTCGACAGACGTTAGAATGCTTTGTGCAGCACTTACAAATGACTTTGACTTGGTCGGCAGATTTTGGAGGCACAGCCCTGTCAACTGGAGCCTCCATAGAATGGCGATGTCACCGCGTGTCGAAAAGAGAATGTCCTTATTCAGAAGCGAAAACCTCCAGCCATTGCATCCTAGCACCGACCGAGACGTTCCGACAGAGTCGCATTTCCAGCAACAGAAGGGTGTGAACAGCAGTTTGCAGTGCGAAAGCTACACTGTTACACTAGCGACACTAGAGTGCATGTATGCGCTTTGCAAAGCCTACATGCCTTCTGCAAAAGCAGAGCACAAGAGACCGAAGCTATGGAGTATCATCAAAGCAAGCTTCGTTCTTGATGACCGATGAAGGGCAACAATGGTGATGTGACAGAGGCATCTCAGGATACGTCGCGCCTTGTTTACAACTGTTGTCACTTGTTGCTACCCATCGCACCAGATCTTCGATGCCATTCTGAACACTGTACTTCTGAGGCAATATCGGCTAAAAAGCCGCAGGTCCTTCCATGGAGTAGGCATAGACGCTTGCCTGGAACGAGACTGAGACGAGTCTTACTGGAGTTAGTGTGTCGGCAAACTGTTTTTTGCATGATCTGTCGTTGGTTGATCATTCCAGGACCGCGAGACAGTCTCGAAGGAGGCTTTCCACGAACAAGATAAGGACTGCTGCAATGCATGATCACCTTTGTGGTGAAGTTTGTGGATCATGAGGAGTTTGAGCCTTGGCATGGTGAGCCCCAGGATGAGTGCTTTGCCGACCTGCAAGACGAAGTTTCTGAACAGAATTTGCGCCGTGTGTGGAGCAGCCTGAAACTCGGCGGCAAAGAGGATCCAAAATCCCAGCAGCGAAGTGCCAGCCACCAGATTTTCATTCGCTGAAGCAGCATGCAGGAGTGGCCTTTGGCTCGTGCCTGCCTTATTACATCATGTAACGTCGCCGAAAGTACTCGAGTTTTGAAGGCGTGGCATGAGCTTACAGCTCGAACTCTGAGGCGCACAGCAGTTTCCCAGCAGCCAGCGAGGATCCATTTCATGTTCGCGAGGTGGCACTGCTGCCCAGGTCTCTTGCCACCAAAGTAAGACAACAGAGGAAGGAAGCTGACCTTTGCTGACCTTTCCTGTGGCGCCAGGTCGAAAGAGTCGGGCGAGAGTGTGCTGGCAACTTGCCCAAAAAACGCAGTCTCACCGTCTCCTTTTCATCTTGAGGAAAGGGCTCGTTCATGTTGGAAGTGTCATACAGATGCAGATGGAAAGTTTGGCTAAGGCGCGGCACAAGATCGCGGTGCGGTGTTGCAAGGGCTGCAAGTATCCGGATGATCGTGCCCCAGGTCAGGACAACTTCAGCTGCGCCAGATTGCCCGGAGGATTTCGCTTGCATTGTGTTGCCGATGGCCATGGCGAAGAGGGGAACTGGGTATCCGAGCGAGTCGTCCGGGCGTTGCCTTACTTCCTAAGCTCACGTGACTGTCGGAAGATGCTCCGCGACGGTGCGGTGGAGACCGCCTTCACGTCGGCCTTTGAACGGCTTCAAGAAGATATTGTCTCCGCATCGCGTGAAGCAGGAGTAAACGTTCAGTTGTCGGGGACCACTGTTGCATGCATCCTGCGGCAAATTCACAGTCCCGTCGTCTGGGTGGCATCCACAGGCGATTCTCGAGTTATCCACGTTTGCCGTGATGGCAGCGTCTCGTTCTCGACGCAAGACCACAAGCCTTGCAATCCTAGTGAACGTCAACGCGTTATCATGAGTGGTTGTGAAATCACCACGAGCGATGCTGCCAACGGAGAAGTTCTTGAAAAGATCGTCGGCTGCTTACCGGGGGCGGGGGCGGGGGACATGGCAAGGTATGCGAGGTGACAATGTGATGTGCTTGGATCTTTCCGTGTGACGAGCTAAGTGCCTGCTTGGTCAGCGTGGCAAGCTCCCGGAGCTTGGTTTCACGCGCTCCATCGGGGACCTGATGTGGCTCGGAGTGAAAGAAGCCTTAGAAGCCAGAGAAGCACAGCCAATGCCTAAAGCTTCGAGGTACAAGAAGTACGGGGTCACCGCCAGGCCTGAAGTCTACAAACTGGAACAGGCGCCAAAGTCTTTGCAGAGTCTTGCGAAGTGGCGCAGACATGAATTTGAGGAGCTGGGTGATGGCTCTGGTCATTTTCTTCTGGGCAGCGATGGGATTTGGGAGTTCTTGAGCAATGAGGATGTGGCCGAAATCGTTCACCGCTCCTCGACCTAGTCTGGATCCGGGATAACCCGGTTCGTTGCATTCGTGGACCTCGACGTTTCTTTGCCGAGACTTGTGGTGTATGCGATCTACACCTCTGAAGCTTGCTTCTTGCGAGATAAACTGAGGTAACCTGCAAGCAGGTGTAGAAAAGGAGACCATTGTGGATGAGCTTGTTAAGGCGGGGGCTTGTGTTTGTAGCTTCATGTTGCGGGCTTGAACAGCTGCAGGTGGCAGAAGCCAAGTGGAAGGACTTGCGGCGATTTGCATGCTTGGAATGCGGAGTGCTTGTTGTTTGCATGGAGAGCCATGAGCTCCCTAAGTGGGTTTAGCTGGATGCTAACCCGGGATTCACAAGTTGTTGGACACGTGTTTGCAGGGCTCCATCTAAGGCTGTTGTTATTTGGAGACCGCAGGTCTTTTTTCGGACCGCAAGCAGCTCAAATGGGGGACAAACAGACGCACAAAACATCCTCAGGCTGGAGTTTGCAGCCTGTATATTATGCAGAATGATTGGCTTTGACTTTAACTTGCCCGTTTGGCTCGCAGGCTCCAGGCCCTCCAGGCTTCGAAATCCACGCCGAATGATCATGGGCTTCCTAATGGTTCTTATGCGTAACGAGCAGGGATTTGACTCCTGTTGCTGTAGACACACAACCGCTGCGAGCAAACAGAGGAACCACGCCTTCCGCTGTCCCGCCACAGTGCTGCGTCTGTTCTCGGTTTCCATGTAGGGCTTGGACTGCCGCTGTGCTTTCCCCATCGTCTGCCTACGTTGGTGTAACACATAAATCTACCGTCCCTGCCAAGCCCGGAGAGCCGCCACCAGACCTATTCCGAAACATTGCTGGGTGGGTAAGATTGGCGGGCGCGCCGCTTCGGCCAGGCCCTGTCCAATCCTTGAAGGCCAACCCTTCGAAAGCTTCAGAGTCAGTCGATGCCGAAGGGTATGGTGCAACAGCACATAATGCAAAATGCCAGCGGGCGGACCCTCATGGCCGAGGCAGTGTTTGCGAAATGCATTTTCATCTTCAGGAGAGTTGCTCCCAAGGCTCGAGATTTGCTACGCTTAGATGCTTACTTAATTGCACATCTGCTGTTTTTCGAATCGTTGCTGCGAGCATGTCGGACCTCACCGAACCATAGCGAACCCACCAACAAGCTCCTGCCTCCCTGACCTTTTCTACCTACCCTTTGGGCGACCGCTTTGTAACACTGTGCATTTCCAACTCGAGCGCCAGCCGGTTGCCAAACGTGCTCCCACATTGACTGAACGCGAGGAGCATGAGTTTGACTATTGCGATGACATAACCTTGATCATGGTGCGCGGCTCAGTTGCTTCCGGATGACAGTTTGGGTTTCATGCTGAAGCAATGTCAGGTGCCGACACGGCAAGTGACGGCAGCCCCTCCTGCTCCTGATGACAGTTGCTTGGGAGGCAGCAGCTTCGTGCACAGCTGGTATGTTCTCCACCTGATATGCCTTTCAGGTGTCGTCTATGCTTCGGAGGAATGCTTAGCACGTGTAGATAGACTCTGTGCGATTCAATAGGGTTGCTTTGCAGCTGCAGGCAACTCTGCCTGAGCCCTGCTCATGTGTCGAGTCATTCTGTAGTGTTACTAGCTCTTGCTGCGAGCAGTCCCCGATCCACTCGCATCACCACGTGCACCTCCAGACCTGCCTCGACGCACGCTTAAAGCATGAACCGTACCTTTTGAACTCAATGCAGCTGCAGAGTGCAGAATTTTCCGCCCCGACAAACCCTGCGTGCGCCGCATGCTCAAAGCAGTGCGGTCGGCACATAAGCAGACCCGTGCCACATCCACGGCTTTGGCTTGGGTCATCCGCCGCGACGCGGATTGCAGGGGCTTTCCTGAGCTGCTTCGTTTGTTTCTATGTTCTCTTTCGCCGCCACTTTCCCAGTCATTCTGATAGCAGTACGAAGTCATTGCTTGGTGTATTGAAGTCAAGTGAGTTGGCCATGCTGAACGCCATGTGGTGATGACATGTCGAAAAGTCCGCCGCTGAGGCACCTCAAGAGATTTGGAAGTGGCTGGCACAACATCGCTCAGGTCGCAAAGCGGCCAAAGACCCAACAAAGTTCGCAGAGGCTCACCGCATTCTTCCTAGCGAGATGTTGCGAAAGCCGGAAGGATTGACGGGTCAGGCAGAACAGCGCCTGGCAGATCTTCGGCACCGCACTGCCTTCGGTGGGCTCTCTGCCTGCTTCCAAATCTTGTCTCTCCGACGGCGCATGGCCGGCTTGCAGCCGCCACTAAGGCTGAATCGGATTCTGAAGAGGCCGAAGAGGATGAAGAAGAGGCACCCGTTCGTCGTTTGACCTTGTTCTACAAATGCAAAAGAAAGCTAAAACAGCTTCAAGAACGTTTTGAAAGAAAGAAGTGTAGTTTTAAAGGACTTTGGACAGTACAGCAGGATGTGTTTGGGACGCGCAGGAGCTCGCAGCTGGTAGCTAGCAGCTCGTAGCTAGTAGCTAGTAGTTAATAGTTAGTAGGTAGTGGTTCCTAGTTAGTAGGTGGTGGTGGTCGTCGTCGCAGTAGTAGTAGTAGTGGCAGCAGCAATAGTACTAGCGTCGCGTGTAGTAGAACAAGAATGAACCGAGGAAGGTCTAGTAGTAGCAGCAGTAGCAGCAGTGGTTGCAGAAGTTGGCAGAAGAAG